GAGGCCAGGGACAAGGTGGCTTGCAACATCAGCATGGCTGGAGAGGCAGAGAAAGAGGCTAGAGATAATGGAAGATAAGCCTACGATGTTTATAAATTATTTGCATTAATTCATATATTTATTCAATCATTCGTTCAATATATGTTTATTGGGAACCCCTGTACCATCCAGCACTGGCAAATCACTGAGCAGGCAGTCCTGAACAAGGCAGATTGAATCTTACAATATCTTTCAAGGAGCAAGTGGAAAGTGAGAATAAATCAATGCAAGCACTTCCCTGAGTCAGGGAATATTTCCTAGAGGAGAATTCTAAACCTCAAAGGCTGAATAGGAAGGCCTGGTGAGGTGAGGGGTGGATTGGGAGAAGCCCACTAGGGCATATGCAGAGGAGTCGGGGGAGCAAGCTATGCCTGAGTGTCACAGACAAGGAGACCACCCAGCCTCAGTTCGCTGCATCTGACCCTCCTGAAGATGACTTCAAATCCCTAAGCATGGGTTAACTATATGAAATTGTCATTTTTCTAGGTAAAAATAGTGTAATGGTTCAATCTAATACTTATCAGAGTGATATCCCTTAACCATGAGCCCTTTTAAATTAGTTTCTTTCCAGAAAAAAAAAATGCAATGGCATTGGGAGGCATAAAGGAACAAGCATCAGCTGCAATAGGGTGATGATGGGGTGGTGATGGGTGATACTCAAGTACACGCAGAGGCCACATGGAAGAACACTGTGTGTATACACCGGAAAGCATGTAAACATTTAGGCTTTATCCTTAGAACATCAGGCAGCTTTGTGCAATGACCAGATTGGTATTTTAAGATGCTTATTCAAAACCACCTGGAGAGAGTGGTAAGAGGGAAACAATGGAACAGCAAAGCAGGAAAAGTTGCTATAATGATCAGAAGAGGGGCCCACACTGTCAGTGTGATAAAGGTAGGCAGGCTTGTGAGACGCTAAAGAGGCAAGACTGACAAGACTCAGGACCTGAGTGAGAGAGGAGGTGGGGGAGCCAGCATGAGCCCATGGTTTCTGCCCACCCAGGCAGCCAGGTGGGTGGTGACCATGTATTAGGCTGGATGAATAGGAGGAGGAGCTGCCATGGAGGGAGAGAGGATGAGTTCTGGGCATGACTGTTGTGATTATGTATATAGCTTTTCATCCACAATTCCTGGCTCATAACACCCATACCTACTGTTATTTCTCCCCTAGGCAGGTCATAAAAACTAAAAATATACCCTAATTTCCCCCTGCCTTTCTGTCTTGGAGCTGGCCATAAAGAAATTCTCAGCTTTTGTACTGGGACCCTGCTGTTTTTGTTACTGTAGCTTTATAGTATAGTTTGAAGTTGGGTAATGTGATGCCTCTAGCTTTGTTCTTTCTGTTCAGGATTGCTTTGGATATTCAGCGTCTTTTTTAGTTGCATCTGGCCTTTCAAAAGAATTTATGCCCAAGTCCTCAAAAGCAATTGCAACAAAAACAAAAGTTCACAAGCAGAACCTAATTAAAGAGCTTCTGCACAGAAAAAGAAACTATCAAGAGTAAACAGACAACCTACAGAATGGGAGAAAATATTCCCAAACTATGCATCTAACGAAGGTCTAATATCCAGAATGTATAAGGAACTTAAACGATTTGACAAAGAAAAAACAAATAATTCTATTAAAAAGTGGGCAAAAGATATGTCTCAAAAAAGACATACAGGCGTCCAACCAACATACAAAAAATGTTTAACATCACTAATCATCAGAGAAATATAAACCAAAACCACAGTGAGATGCCATCTCACATTAGACAGAATAACTATTAAAAAGCCAAAAACCAACAGATGCTGGAGAGGCTGTGAAGAAAAGAGCACACTTACACATTGTCAGTGGTACTGTAAATTAGTTCAGCCACTGTAGAAGCAGTGCATAGATTTTGCAAAGAAATTTAAACAGAACTACCATTCAACCCAGCAATCCCATTACTGGGTATATATCCAAAAGAGAATAAGCCATCCAGCCAAGAAGAGGAACACACTCATATGTTCATCACAGCGCTATTCACAATAGCAAAGACATGGAATCAACCTGGATGCCCATCAATTGGGAACTGGATAAAGAAAACATGGTATGTACATACCATGGAGTACTATGCACTCATAAAAAGAATGAAATCATGCCCTTTGCAGAACATGGATGCAGCTGCAGGCCATTATGCAGGAACAAAAAACAAATACTGCATGTTCTCATTTGTAAGTGGGAGCTAAACACTGGGTACTCATGGATATCAAGATGGGAACAATAAACACTGGAGACTAGTAGAGGAGGAAAGGAAGCAAGGTTGGAACTAACTTCAGGTTACTGTGTCACTTCTTAAGTGACAGTATCAATCATACCCCAAACCTCAGCATCACGTGATACATCCATATAACAAACCTATACATGTACCCCCTGAATCTAAAATAAAAGTTGAACTTATAAAAAACAAGGAAGGAAAGAAATTCTCTGACCTACCTTGTCTGACTATAGGTCATAGACCTCCATTTCAGAAGGGGTCCTACCCCATCCCTGAAGGAAGAAATGCTGCACAGAGAAGCTGGGGAATCTTAACAAACAGGCCTTATTGGGTTTTCCCACTTGATCTATTTGTGGTAGATCATACCCTTTCTGTCCAATCACATGGCTACATGGATGTCCATGCTTTGATCATCCTATCCAGTGATGTCTCCACAGAAGGCCCAAGAGGACGGGGTACAGAAAGCTTCCAGATAGCTGAACATGTGGAGGTTCCTTCAGGATGGAGCGCCAAAGGAAGGCATGGAATCTCAGTGCCCCTTCCCCATACCTCACCCCCTATGCATCTCTTCATCTGTATCCTATGCAATCTCCTTTACAATAAACCAATAAATGTAAGTGTTTCTCTGAATTTCAGGAACCACTGTAACAAATTCATTGAACCCAAGGAGAAGGGGCATGGGAATCCCAATTTCTAGTTGGTTGGTCAGAAGCACAGGCAAAACAACCTGGGTTGGCATTGTAAGTGGGGCAGTCTTGCGGGTCTGTGACCCCAACCTGCGGCATCTGATGCTGTTTCCAGGTAGACGGTGTCGGAATTGAGTTAGAGGACACCCAGCTGTTGTCTGTGGCAGAATTGATTGCTCACTTTTTGTTGGGGAGAAACCCTCACATATTTCATCACAGATGCCTTCTGTGTCGATTACTGCACTGTGTGAGAACAGAGGAGAAGCAGTTTGTGTTTTTCCACTGAGGAGTATTCAATCGGTTCTAATGATAAAAAGAAGGTAAAGGAAACTTTCCTTAACCTTCTTTTTATCATTAGAACCGATTGAATACTCCTGAGTGGAAAAAAACAAACTGTTTTATCATTAGAACCAATTAAATACTACTGCCAACTACCTGAGTGCTTTACATATGGTATTTAAATTCACACACCAGCTGGGGAGGTAGGTACCCTTCCTCCTGTTATATAGCTAAAACAAAACAAAACAAAACTGAAGGTGAGGGCTTACCTGAGGTTAGGCAGTTTATATGTGAGAGAGCTGCAATTTAAATGGGTTTCCCTTTACCAATACCCATGCGCTTATGGCTACAACTTGCTACCCAATAACCTAACGTAACTTATGGTGTGTGCTGTGCTGATGGCTAAAACAATGGCAGCTGCAGATGAGATCAAGAAGGACGTGCCAGAAATCTGCTCTGAACACATGGGAGAGGAGGAAGGCCAGACTTAGAGCAGAGCACCTGACCCAGGTGCAAGATCTCATTCCGCTCACCTCTGCTAACCAAACCTGTGTCACAGATTCTCCCCAAATCTAGGAGGATGGGAACCAGGGAAAGATCAATCAGAGGGTTAAAGGACTGCTTTCCAAGGATGAGAATAAATCCTATAGTGCCTTGCTTACCTTGAAGAGTAGGCCCTCTCAACATCTCTTAAGGGAAAAGCAGCATTTTAGCTCATGGCAGTGTCTTAGCAGACAAAGGCTTAAGGCATAGCCTATCTAAAGAGTTACTTAACAAATTCCAAAATAGTAGCAAAATGGTCTCCATAAAACTAAATGACTTCCAGGGAGTCATTTCAACTCTAGTACTTGTTGCCTTAATTAGGAACAGATTCTGATAACTGGGATTTATTTTCCTAAGTACACATCCATAAAAGCCAGAAACTTGTCACGCTGCAGCATCCCTGACATTTCTCAAAGATGAATTCCTAATTGGGTTTAAAAAAAAGCAGCCAGAAATTTTCATGCTGGTTTTGATTCGGGATTCAAAACAGAACCTAAGAAGTGCATTTCTGTATTATTCCAAACCATGTAAAAACTGCTTTAAAATCCTTCAGACCCCTTAAAATACTAAACTTTAAAAAGGGGGAAAACAGTCTAAAGAAGGAATTCTGAATTTATTATGGTTAAAAAGAGTCTTGTCTCTTTTTATTTTTTTTTTTTTTTTTTTGTGATAGAGTCTCGCTCTGTCACCAGGCTGGAGTGCAGTGGCATGATCTCAGCTCACTGCAACCTTAGCCTCCTGGGTTCAGGTGATACTCCCGCCTCAGCCTGCTGAGTAGCTGGGACTACAGATGCGTGCCACCACGCCCAGCTAATTTTTGTATTTTTAGTAGAGACGAGAGTTTCACCATGTTGGCCAAGATGGTCTCAATCTCTTGACCTCATGATCCGCCCACTTCGGGATCCCAAAGTGCTGGGATTACAGGCACAAGCCACCGCACCTGGTCAGATTCTTCTCCTTCTTATGGAACATGAAAACTATCCTATGATCTCTTTAAGACACTTTTAAACATCTGAATCTATTTACTTTTTAAAAGAGAAGGTAAGGGCTGGCACCGAATCTTTCACTTACGCGGTTCAAAGAACTTTTTTGTCTCTTTCTTTGTTAATTTATTAAAGAAATTTGCCAGCCTTTTTCATTGATTCAACTAAATTGTTATAATAAAGACTCCAGATGTGCTGTGGAGTCTGAAATACAGAAATTATTAACCTTACCTGCACAGCTTATCCTCAAGCGTTTCCATGTACTTCACAGTGTTTTCCTTCACACTTGTTTCTGCGGAAAAAAGGGAAATCCAAAGTGAATGCAACTGCTGTCAAAATTAAATAAAAACCATTCAACTAAAAGCTCAAAGCCAAAGGACTGAGGTCAAGCCACTAGTAATCATAACATCCTGTGTTTGGAAAACCCTCAAATCCATTGGAGTGGCTGAATGAAGTCATGAGTTGGGAAGGTCTTGGAGGGTCCGAGTGCCTCTGCTGGAGAAAGTCAGAGGCTGGGGCAACAGCGCTGAGCCACCCTTGCCATAGTCTTTCAAAGGCAGCTCACTGATAGTCTCTCAATGGACTAGGTGTGCTCTGTGTCTCCTACCTTTCCCAACTGGTAGCCATGGGCTCGGTTGTCAAATTCAGGGAGAGGAAACCTAAGAGTGTAATGATTCCCATCCTACAGATGAACCAGAAGAACCTCACCAGGGGTAGAGGAGGATTGTGGACCCTTTCATTGAGAAACAAACATAAACATGGGATTCTGCCAGTAACTAGAAATCAATTACTCAACTTCCAATGAGTGATAAGATCAGGTACTCTTCGAGATAAACTCAGCGCTTCGTAACCACCAAATGTTGAAGGAATGAACGATTGCTACGGTTCAACAGATCAAACAGGCACTTTATGGATAAAAGAGATTTGATATACTTTAAACAAATTCTGATACTCCCCTTTTGCTCATCCGAGGAATGAAGGTGCCTTCCTGTCAAGGTGATAACTAACGGACATGCACACCAAGTGCCTGGAAGAACACCTGAAGCTAAGGGGTTTCTAGAAAATGGTGGCTGGAATTATCAATGGTGCTGTCATTATTAGTATTATTGTTATTGCAGGTTTTATCATTGTTTTTATTCCAACCTTTATTCTGAAGGGTTATTTATGCTGAAGGGCTCATGCATGCCAAGGTTGGAGAATATGCAAATGCAGAAGCCAGGCTGCCCAGATTCATGCTGCTGGAGTGTCTGGGGATTCTTGGACTTCTTCAGTCAATGTGTATGTGTCAGGTGAGGGAAAGTGGAACTGGAAAAAGTACCCTGACGTTCCTCATAAAAAAAACAAATATTTAGATGGAAATTTAAACAAACATTCTGGCTCATGAGTCCATAAAAGGTAAAAAAAGAAATTTACACAATGAAAACAACTGTTTAAGTTGGTGTCTTTTCTTATTGACTTATGCTGGTCTAACATACAAACTTAGTTGTATTAGCTGGAGCAAGTATTGCAAGTTCAGAATGTCCCAACCAGAAACGCCCTCTCTGTTTCACATCCCATACATATTTATGTGCCACACACTGTTCTAGGCATGTGGGATAACTCTGCACAGAAGAGGTAAAGATTCCTGCTTCTGTAGTTCTTCCATTCTGGCAGCAAGGGATGCTAAAGAATAAACATTAAACTTCCATAGAACATTAGAAGGTGGCAACGAGAATAAGGATTTAAGGGGAAAAAAAGAAAGCAAGCGAAACACGGCTGTAGAGTGGTCAGGGAAGGCATCGCTGGGGAAATGGCATTGCATAAAAGTTTGCAGAGGGAGGGAAGAGGGAGTCGGCAGGCATCCTGGGGGAGCAGAGCAGGTGGAGGGAGCAGGCGTTCTGAAGGCCCCAGGGCAGGAGCACATCTGTTTTCTCCAACAAGTATGGCCAGGGCTGAATGTTCCATGGGGAGAAAAGGAACAATCATGCAGGTCACTGTGGTAGACTATAGTGTCAAAATGGCGATAGCAATATTTCTTGTACCACCTACTCTTCCAGAACTTTGCTGCTGCTTCCCGTCAAGAAGTAAAATCTACTGTATTGCTCTTCTCTTGAATCTGAACAGACTGTGGCTGCTCCAGCCCACTGAGTATGATGGAAGGGGCTCTATATCTCTTCTGAAGCTAGAGTCCAGCTTCTGCCTGGCTCTCTGTCCTGGGAACCCAGCCACCATATTGTGAGGCATCTCAAGCCACATGGAGAGGCCCTGTGTAGGCGTTTCAGCTGACAGTCTGGGTGATGATCTTAGGCTACATCCAGCACCAACCTCCAGATACTTGAGTGAATGACCTTTCAGGTGGTTCATGCCTTTGAGTCTGAGGGACCCAGACATCACAGAATGGAGACAAGTCACCTTCACTATACTTTGTCTGAATTCGTGACTCACAGAATTTTGCACATAATAAATGGTGATGTTAAGTCATTAAGTTTGGGGATGTTTTGTTGCACAGCTGTAGTAACTAGAAAGCCACTGTCAGGATTTTGCGTGTTCTGAGTGGAATGGAAAAACACCGTAGAAGAATAAAATGAGACTGACCTACGGCTACTGTGTTGAGAATACACCATGGGGAGGAGGGGGTGGAAGACACGGAGGAGGCTAGTGCAGTCATCCAGGAGAAGGTGATGGGGTATGGGGGAGGGAAAGTAGACTCTTTTTCTCACCCATCACCAGGGCCATGGCTGACACCCCTATAACAAAAGACAGGTTAACAAGAGAAAGGCATGAGAAATGTATGTAACCAAAGTTTTATGTGATAAAGGAGCCTTCAGAGATGAGGATCCTAAGACCCAGGAAAACTGTCTATTTTTGTGCTTACATTCAGTGAAGCATATGAAGAATAGACAGCTGTGTAGGTGATTGGACAAAAAGCATACGATGTAATGGTGATAAACTGGAGCTCAGCATGGCCTCTTTGTTCAGAATCTTCTTGGCATCTGTGTAGCATTCCTTCCCTCCAGGTGGGCAGGGGCAGGGCAACTGTCATACAAGGGTCTTATACCCACCTTTCAGGGAACGTAAGCAACAGAATCCTTTATGATCAGCTCTCACACAGAAAGACAGTGGAAAGACAGCGGATGGTCAGAGTGACCTTTCTGCTTCTGGTGTTTTCTCAGTTTCCAAGTGTACTTTGTAGTAGCATGTTCTGTGTCCCAACAGGGACTGAGACTAGCGTGTTAGCAGGAGTCAGTGATAAGTGGGCAGATTATAGATAGATTTTAAAGGTAGAGACCACAGGGTTACCTGGTGGGTCGAACGTCAGGTGTGAGAAAAAGAAAAGTTAAGAATGACTACAGGTTTTTACACTAAGCCACCAGAAAAAAAACAAAAAACAAAACAGAATTGCCATCAACCGAGATGGTGAGAATGAGAACTGAAATGGGGGTGGGGAGACAAGTGTTTGGCTTTGGATTTGTTAAATTTGAGAAGTTTTTAGACATTCAGTGGAGATGTCAAGTGTGAGGTTGGATATCTGAGTCTGGATTGTGGGAAAGTCCTGGAACAGAGACATTTGGGACTGGCATTTGAAGCAACGATACTGGACAATATCACTCGGGAAGTGGGAGTCACTTAAGAAGCCCTTGCTGATCATATGTGATGACATTAATACTGGGACAGCACCTTCCCTCCAATGGACAAAATGGACAGCACCCGCTGAGAAAAAGAAAGCCATATTCTTATTTTTTAAAATATCTAGACGTCTATCAAGCTAATCACTTTGTTAAGAAACTGAATGCCAAGCACCAGTTGGTGACATGCTGAACCTGAGTGAGAACTTCTAGGCAGAGCCACGGGCTTTTCCTCTTGCCTGGAGGCTGCCATCTAAGGAGAATGCTAAGTTGAACTATTTTTCATTGGACCCAACCCATCTCCCAGCCAGACAGCCTAAAAGTACCTTGCACACATTCACTAAGTTGACTCACAACCTTCAAGATAGGCCAAGACTGTAGACAGGGAGTTTAGATTTTAAGCTTCCTAATCAATACGCCTACAGACACACTCACTGAGAACAGAGCTCATCCTTTCCTCTCTTCTTACTCCTCTCCTCTTCCTTTCTTCCCTGCCATTTTAGGTCCAATACAGCAGGGACCAGTGAGAATTGTGATGGTAGTAAGGTGAGGTTCCAAGAAGCAAAGAGGGCACTCAAAGAAATGCTGAATACAAAAGGAAATGCCGGGAAGCAAACAAGACCAGAGGACTGCGGGCCTCCCGATCAGGAAGAAGCAGGAACGCATTCACTGCTTCCATTTATTAAGGGAATCTGATCTCTCAATTCAGGCCATGGTATCAGAGTAGAATTCATACAATTAGTTTGATGAATCCAATGAAACAAAAACTTAGATTAACGGATTAGTGATTAAATGCCATAAATTAGCGAAAACAGTAGAATGCATGAAACAAACACACATCAATGCTACAGGAGATTAATCTGGGTCCTCCTTCATGCAAGGCACTATACTTGGCACTATTTAAATATAAACAGGATGTGGCTTCCAGGGACACAGATAGCTGTGGGACCAGCATCTTTAACACTGATTTCTCACTAGAGTACACAGAAACATTTCCCATAAATATTCATCATAAACAATAATCCAAAAATATCCCTATGAGTCTGATGGGAAAAAAAATAAGTAACAAAGCTACCCAGCAACAGCTTTTTCAGTGTAAACACAGAAGTTGGAAGGTGGAAGAATGTCAACACGAAGATAGGAGAATGTTAAGTGAGAGGAAGTCCAACTAGGTTTCAATGAATTGTATCCCTTGCATAATAAAGGGACAGCAGTATTTGACATGAAAATAGCACAGGAAATCAGGAACACCCAGGCAGACTTGCTATCAGATTGAATGGAACAGTGATTTAAAGAAACTCCAGCTCCATTGCCTTCAATTAATAAGGAAGGCATCCTCAGATGGGATCAGTACAATACAATCTCACCTTTGAAAATGGAAGCCAAAGGGACCTCCCCAGTTTAGCATTAATGGCAAAGTTTGTCAGACATTAGCCATGCTATTGGAATTTTCTAAATTAACATTAAGTACCAAGTGAGACCTGGTCTACGTTTACAAAAATAAGTGATCAGATTTCAAAGATCAATATTCAAGAATCAATTCAGATAAAATTAATTCCCAGTTAGTAAACTCTTTAGGAAGAAAGATGTGAAAGGCAAAGGAGAAATTTTAGAACTCTGAGAAATGTTCAAATATCTAAGGTACTATGCTGTCTTTGAGTTAATGAAAGGGTCTCTGTTTGGATAA